AGTGCAGCTTTTATTTTTAATAGCTAATTTGATTTTTTTAATCTTTAAGCAAATATATCTCCATAACTATTTAATCAAATTTGATAGGGTTTTTTTTATTTGAATTTTATAGATTTATAGAATTCTAATAAAAAAAATTTTTAGAATTTGGTTAGATATTTGTGGAGATATCTTTACTTAATATTTTAAAAAATTAGCGATTTTCCTTTTAATAGATGTAGATCTTCCGGCAGAAGCTATATCAAAAGTGATCTTTAGTTACATAATAACATGTTATTTTTGCCACTACTAATCTACTATATAGGTGTGTATTTGAGCTGGAAACATCTAGAATAATGCAATTAACTTTCTATTTCTAGAATTAAATCTTAGTTTTACTATTTATACTAGGTCAGCATCCTTCTTTAGATATAAATTTGCTAAAGTTTGGCATGCATTATTTTTTTAAAACTTTAACTCTTTTTGTAATACTGTATTACATTACTCAAATTCTTTCTGTTTATTTTTTTATCAGGATATAATATGATAAATAAATCATGCTGAGATAATATATTTAATCCACCTTTAATTATTTAAAAATTAATCTTTTCAAGCATCTTATCAGTCAGACAATAAAATTGTGACACTGTTTTCTCAATAAGTAGATTTATAAGATGATTATGTTTATCTACAAAATTATTGATTCAAACCCCTAGTGCTGTTTTAGAAAATGACAAATTAATATATCAAGGTCAGTCAACTATCTCTGACTTCTTCTCCCTTCTATTCTTCTGTAAAATAACTTTCTCGGCCTTATGTGTATACACTTAAGAATATTCATAAGTTCTACAATGAATTATACTATCAGTTGAATCAGTAAAACAATGATGTTTATGAAAACTAAATCTCTTTTGCTTTGTATAATTTTTGAGATATAATTTAGCAGCCTCTCATGTTCTAAACTCTTTGCTTTTAGTTAATTTTAACATATCTAACTCATCTTCTATATCATATTCAGATTTTACTTAAATATTGACAACATTGCTAATTTCATTTTTGCTATTACAAACATCAATAATAATATTAGCTTCATTTTTACAATTATGAATTTGGTGTCAATATTAACTTCAAAACTAAATTCTTGAATATCACCAATAAAACTGCCTTCAAACAAAGGATGCAAAGAGTAGTATTGGGTAGTGTTCCGAATCGAGCCGGCTCAATTAGGCTTATCAGAATTAGGGGTTGGCTCGATTTTGGCATGAAAGGCTTGCGAGCCAGTAGTACAATTTACGTAACACAATTTCTACTATTAATTTACATCATACAATACTTTCTTCTATCTTCGCTATTAATGATTAATAGCGGAGATAGAAGAAAGTATCATTAATAGTGGAAATTGTATTACGTAATTTGTACTACTGGCTCGCAAGCCTTTCAAGCCAAAATCGAGCCAACCCCTAATTCTGACGAGCCTAATTGAGCCGGCTCGATTCGGAACACTAGTATAAGAATTGTGAATATAAATTATTATCCAATTCCATTTAATTTCTGTTGAATCGATAGTGATCAAAGTATTATTTAGACAATGAAATAACAAAAAGTGGTATAAAAATAAACTGAAAAAATTGCTTTTATGAGTAACATTTGGTCATAGAGGAAAAAATAAAGGCTTATTAAAAGCAATAACTAGAAAAGTAAAGGTTGAGTCAAAAGATAAATGCTTTACATCAATACTATTCTGACAGGGATGTAAGGTGAATATAAGTAAAAGATTTTTTTGGTGTTACCTAAATGCAAATGACAAAGTAGCGAAAGATCGATTGAGAGAAGTGATTAGCAAGCGTAAATAAAGTCAAAATTTTTAACTATTCAGAAAAAGTGATATAAGGTGAAAGTAAAAAAAAGAATATATTTTTGTAGGCATTATTTGGGCACAAATGATGAAATAATAAAAGATCGATTGAAAAAAGCAATTGGTGAAGTGTATGTGAAGTCAAAAATTGTCAATACTTATAAGCGGTCAAAACAAATATTACATCATCAATTAGTACTCTGAATAGGTCAGATAGTATCAGTATAATGAGAAAGGCTCAAACTTACGGTGAGAATGATCCTGATCAGCCACCAGACATTTTAGTCAAATCGTCAGTGCTTTGAGCTGTTCATCCCAAAATTTTCATACAGTCAACTTTTCATAAATGCTGTTGCTGGAAAAAGAAAACTTATAAAATGTGAACTTACAGAGAACCAACAGATCTTATTTAATATAGGTGGGAATATAAAGATATTATAAGATTATTTAATATAAAAAACACTAACTCTAATTCCAACCTAACTATTATTTAAACTATAACCCTCACCCTAACTCTAACTATTCATAAATTTGTTTAAATTAGTTCAAATAGTTATTTTTATATATTATAATCTTATAATACTTTTATATTCCCACCTATACTAAATATCAACCATAAAGTCATTTAAAGAGTGCTATGAAGGGTTGATTGTATTGGGTTGAGTTAGGTTGTTTATTTGAAAAACTAAAATACAAAATAAATAAGATCATCAAATTAAAATATATTTAATACCTGGTTAAGAATATAAAAGTTAACATCTGGTTAAATTTTATAAAATTAACTTATTTCGAAAATAAGAGGGAATTTAAAAAAGCCTATCTCTGTTTTGAAATTCAAAACCAGCAAATGAAATAAGAGTATTTTTTTTTGACAATATATTATAAACATAAAAAAAAATACAATTTATAGACCACTTATTTCAGTATTTCGAACAAATAAACAAATGTGTCATTAATTTTATTCGAAATCAGAAATTTGTCATTAAAGACTTGGATCAAATAATTCATGTAAATACAAAAATTTAATAATGAAATTAATATGACTAATTAATAGTTGATACAGTCTTCAAATGTACAGTACGCATTTAAGTACCGCTAAGAGAAAACCAGGCTTTGGGCTTTTGAGTTCGACTTAACGGACTCAGCTCCTGAAAAATTATATTGTACTGTATAAATTGATCACCGTTAAATTATATACTCGGTTTTCATGTGCTTGTATAAGTGGCCAATCTGAATGCTTTTAATGCAGACAGGCACTTAAATACGTAGTGTGGATATAATACTAGTATAATACCCCAAAGTATAATTACTCCGAAGTATTTACTCCTATTAATAATATCTTAATAATCCGGGGTGGTGTTATGCCTAGACCACCCTGGTATGGAGTGGGGTATACTCCACAGTTACTCCAGAGTATCTTGCCCCATTAACATCTCTACCAATCAGAGAACACA